TGGCACCAGATCAGGATTAAACTATTTGCAGGCCTGGGGCATGAGGGAACGTGGGGCCCTCATGCTCACATGAACAAATAATGAGAAAATCTCAAGGAAAACAAAATCACTGATGCTTTTAAAGTCACTAAAGTATTTGTCTCCTCCTTTTGAATTTTCCTAGAGCTCCAAATTGACATGAATACTCCCACACCCAGACAGCATGGTGGGCACTGCCTGCTGGAACATTCTTCATAGTCAGTCTCACGGGAGAGCTGGCTGGGACCTGAGAGACCCCCAACTCCCTTGAAGCTCCTAAAGACCAGAGCCCCAGTCTTGATCATCTTTGTTTTCCTCATGAGGCCCAGTGCACGGAGGACATACACTCTACAAGGATGGCATGGCATGGCATGGCATAGGGCAGCATGGAATCAGATGGGATGAAAAGGGATGGGATAGATGGCATGGGATGGCATGGGATGGGATGACATGGCATCAGATGGGATGGGAAGGATGGTATGGCATGGGATGTGATAGATGGCATGGGATGTGATAGGGTGGCATGGCATGGGATGGCATGGGATGGGATGGCATGGCATGGCATCAGATGGGATGAGAAGGATGGTATGCATGGGGTGGGATGACATGGCATCAGATAGGATGGGAAGGACGGTATGGCATGGGATGGCATGGGATGGGAGGGGACCGAACAAAGACAGAGCACCACGTGAAATGCTGTTGGGCACATATGGGTAAACTGGGTTAGGGAGGTTGTAGCACAGTGGTGAAAACAAGAGTTGGAGCAGACTGACGACTTACTAGAAATGGGTCTTTGTGTGACCCACTCAGCCGAGGGGGGGTTAATAATCATCGTAGAAGACAGAGAACTGGACCCACAAAGGTAGACCCTAGCAGGTGTTTGTACTGTGGAAGCCCACCAGCCTGGCCATCCTGACTGGACCTGGGGTGGGCCCCTGACTGGAGCCAGGTCTGGTCCGCGGGCTGAGGAGGGAGAGGAAGGGATGAGGGTTGGGGGTGGTGTGGATGAGTGACTAGGGGAGCAGTTCAGGGGCTGCGGATGTAGGGCACTTCCTGCCCGTCATTTCCACCCATGAGACCCCCCTTCTGTGCTTTTCAGTAAATTCCTCTGTCTGCCAAGCCATGATTAGATTGGTATCTGTAACGTGTGACCAAACAGCCCTTGCTACCATCACTCTCCTGTCCTGCGCTCCACCTCTTCCCCTGACCTGCAGTCAAGATGCAGTGAAGCGATCGTCTCCGTCCTCGGCACCTCTGAGCTGATTGCCAACCATCCAAGCTGAGCCCTGGAGTCACCCCACTTGCCTGTTTTCTGCCTCAGCCTCACTGACTTCCTGTTGTCCCAGTGGCCGAAGGTAGTCTGCAATTGCCAAGACAAGAAAGTGACCCTTTCAGAAAGGGCTCCGCCTCCGCGAGGCTCTCGGGCAGCCTCCTGGCCACCTGCCTGGCCGTCCCTCCCACGGCGGAGCCGAAGAGATGCACAGTGGTCATCTGGCTTGTCCCTCCCGGAATGTTGGGAGAAGGCCCTGCGGCGCTCATGCCCAGGCTGGCCCAGCTCCTTCTCTCTGCTGGAGATGGTGTTGCAGCAAATGAGCCAGATATGGTCCCTGTACCAGCAACGTCTTTCATTTTCTTTGTCTTATGTTTTGACATCTCAAAAATCTGCTGGCCTGGGAGAGACTGCCCTCCCAGGGCTGGTCAGTTCTCAGGGGTGGGAAAGGGAGCACGCCTTTCTGCACCTCTCACACACCCAGTCAGGATTTTCCCCTGCCCTGAATCATCCCAGGGGCAGGCAGCTGGAGACCACCCCCATTTCCCAGAGCCCACTGGGATTTTTCGCACAAGTCAACCCTAAACTGTTCACTCGACCCTGCCTTGCCTTTCCTGAAGAAAGCCCAATAAAGGCTCTGGCCTAAGCTCCCCCCCCCCAACCGCCCCCCGCTGCTTCTGCCCCCTGACCACCCGGCTGCCCCACGCGGCCCTGCCTGGGGTGCTAGGCCCCTTCTCTCGGGAAACACAAGGAATACATTCTTCCAGTGGCATCGAGTCACCTCCATGAATTAAAATCCTGTGGGTACTAATGAGCCCTGAAGGAGACAGACATTAAGCAGATCTAAGAAACTAGAGAACTCCAGGGAGGCACAGGGTGTGGGAGAGAAACACGAGGTGCCACGAGCCTCTCAGCCATCTGAGACGGGGAGATGGTCACCTGCGGGCTTTGCCCCATCAGCGTGTTTCCCCCGCAGTACTGCTTTGAGCACCCATCCTTCCCCCTCTCCCAGATGCTGGGTCTATAGCATCCAGTAGGAGCTTTATTGCACTTGGAGCTGTTCCCAGGCCTGGCTAATTTCCATATTCTACCCCCTCCCCTGCAGTCACTGGCCCAGGATGGACGTGTGACCCAGGCTAGGCTAATGAGTCTGTGGGTGCCCAACTCGGCCACTGTGTGGAGAGAGACTACCCCACCGGCGAAGAGAGCCAACCCAGAGGCGTGATGCCGTGGTCTCAGAGCCTAGAGGTAGCTGTGTGGGTCCTGCCTGTTTCTCCGCTTTGCTAGCTCTGACGTCCAGCAAACTCCCTTTTGCTCCAGCCAAGCTGAGCTGGGTTTCCAATCCTGGAATCAAGCATCCTCACCAGTGTAGGGAGCTGGCCCTGCTGGGAGTGGCAAAAAGCAGTCTCCGTGGAAGTGACAGATGGAGAAGTGAAAGATGACTAGGAAGCAGCCAGGCGAAGAGGAGGAGAAAGAACGCGGCAGACAGGAAGGGCAGCGTGAGAGAAGGCCCCCAGGTGGGAAGAACTGGGCTTCGGGAATTTGTTTGCTTCATGACCCTGTGTGTCTTCTGTCATAGCTACACACACCTCTGATGAATAACCTTTGTTAAGTAAGGTCCATTCGTAAAGTAATCTATTGTTTTAAAAATCCCCCTTGCCATTGGATATGTCATGATTTATTAAATAGATTTGGTTTTACTCTCATGAACTCCTGACCGGGCCTACTTATTTATTCAGTCTAGTTTTCTACTTTGCACCTAGGATTTGGGGCCTGAAATCCTGGCCCGTCTCAGCGCAGAAGCCTAGAAGGATTGGGGCGGCTCTGGGAGTGTCGGGAGTTGGGTGTGGAGCCAAGGGCCAGTTTTGCCTGGCGATGCAGCCAAGAGAGCTGAGCGGGGCCACTCTGGCTCAGAGCAGCCATTCATCAGCTCGAACAGAGAAATGAATTTGTCAGTCTTTGGCTTCGCCTTTGACCCCCCGAAGGCCAAAACTGACAACTCTAGAAACATGGCTGCCTCCAGTGACAGAATCAGTAAGCCCACCAGAGTATGCAGGGAGATGGAAATAGGAATCTCTTACAACGTCAGTCACCCCCTCCTTCTCCCTGCACCTCTTCCAAATCCTGTCCCCATCACCAGATTATTTAATTTACCTATACCAGGGGAAACAGGAGGGAAAACTAACTGAGCTGGTGTTGTGTTCCTTCTTTGTGTTCCACCTCGGGCCAAGGACAGTGAGCTGGGGGAAGGAGATTGTCCCACCTGTGAAGATCCAATGTATTACTAACATTTGTTACTAAGATGTATACTGCATTATATGATTTAACTTTGACTCCCCAAGTTTGATTTCTTTGGAGGAAAGAATCGATCATGCACATTTTCATAGGACACAGAGCACCCAACACAATGCCTAGCCCTACTAGGATCCCTGATTCTTGAATCAATGACTTTTACTTAATTTAAAATCACCACGAGAAAAAATGTCCACACCTGAGCTCCAGACTGGATGATGCATCAGAAGTCCCTACCTGGGGATCAAATGGGTAGGGCAGGCAGGGGTCACTTATCCTAATGGTTTGGGCCCAAGCCTTGGCATGGATGGAGACTCTGAGCCTTTGGGGACACTGAGCCCTAGGCCGTGTCAGGCCCAGACCTGGCCAGGTGGCTCCTGCCCTCAGGCTGTGCTGAGTGTCAGATGGGGGAGAGCAGGGAAAGTAAGGTCAGTCCAAGGCCTGGAGCTCCTGGGATGGCAGGGAGCACCGAGTCTGGAGTGGGTCAAGCCTAGGCCTGGCCAGGTGAGCTGCTGAGACCCAGGGGATGCCGGGGGGCGGGGATTGGTCTTATGACTTGGCAGGGACTGTGCGCCAGCATGGGGCTCTGAATCCCGGGTGGGGTCAATCATAGGTCCTGGCATGGGGGCTAGAGTTTGGAAAGGGGCAGTGTGTCAGGGGGGCGTGCCAGGCTCTGGGCAAGGGAGGACACTGCACTCTGGGTTGGGGATGTCAGCCCCCCACCCTGACTTGGAGATTCCAGGCCAGCAGGGAATGCTGTATCTCTGGTAGGAGGGTCAGGTGCTGAGAGGGTGCTGAGACCTGGCTGGGGGCGTCCTTCCCAGGCTCCGGTGAGGAGATTCTGGCCTACAGAGGCCTCTGAGTCCCACATGATGGGGGCAGGGCTGTTAGTCCCAGGCCCCGGCTTGGACACTCTGGGTCGGCAGGGAGCGCTGTGCCTCCGGTGAGAAGGTCAGGTCCTGCGGGCAGGGCCACCGACTCCTGGCTGGGGTCCGTCTCAGGCCTCGGTGTGGAGTGGAGTCGAGTCCGGTGGCGGCGCAGGCCGCGTGGCTGGCAGGGCTGCTGGCGCGGCTCGGCCCCTCGCCCTGGCGTGGAGACTCCGGACCGGCAGGGGGCGCTGCGTCCCAGACCGGGGGTGGGCCCCGGCCGGCTCCGGGCCGGCAGGGGGCGCTGGGCTCGCGGCGGCGTGGCGGGCGCCCGGCAGGTGGCGCTCTGGCCGCGGCCGAGGCGGCCGAGGCGGGCGGCGGCGGCGGCGGCGGCGGCGGCGGCGGCGGCGCGGCGCTGCGGCCGGCTCGCGGGGCCCGGGGAAGCGGCGGCGGCGGCGGCGGCGGCGGCGGCGGCGGCGGCGGCGGAGCGGCGGCGGCTGGCGGCGGGAGCGGCGGCCCCGGGCGGGCGGGCGGGCGGGAGCGCCGCTGGCCGAGCGCACAGGCCGCGGCGCGCGGAGCCCGCCATGCCCGCGCGGGTCTGAGGCGCGGCGAGCCAGGGCCGAGGCGAGCGGCGGCCGCGCCGGCCTGTGGCCCCGCGGCGGCCGGGCCCGGGCCCCATGAGCGGCGGCCTCGGCCTCCGGCGCAGCCCGGAGATGTCCGGCAAGCTCGAGAAAGCAGGTGAGCGCGGCGCGGACCGCGGGCGGGGCGGGCCTGCGGGCGCGCGGGCGGCGGGGCGAGCCGCCGCCCAGGCCCGGGGCGCGCCGGCCTGCTGGCGCTCCGGGGCGGCGGGGCGCGGGGCGCGGGCTCGGTCCCGCGGGGCGGCGGGCGCGGGCGGCTGCCGTGCGCCGTGGACGGCGCGGAGCCCCCCAGGGTGTCACTTGTGCGGCGCCCCGACCGTAAGCGGAACCGGGAGGAGCCGCTCGGCCGGCTGCGGACGAGGCGGGCAGGACGTGTCTGGGCGCCCTCGGGGCTCGCTCGCTCTCCGCCCCGGCGTCGAGCCGAGCTCCGGCGGCAGGGCCCCGGGGAGCCTGTGGCCTTGGGGGCGAGGATAACCCCGTCCCTTTGTGTTCTAGACTCCGCGGAGAGCCGCGTTCCCGTTGCCGGGCTTTGAAAGCGCGTGCTGGGAAGGGAGTCCCCGCAGACTCCGTTAGGGCCGATGCCTCCGGCGGGGCCCCGGCGTCTGCAGCCGGCGGCACCCTGCGGGGCGACGCCCTGGGGCCCAGCGAGACGGGCGGGCGGGCCAGGGCTCCTGCGCAGGGGGGCGCCGTGGGTTGTCACAGCCTGGGTGCCAGCCTAGCTCGGCGCCGACCTGTGCAAGGCAGGCTTTTAGGGGCTGCAGGGGGGCAGGTGGCGTGGGTTGGGGAAGTTGCTCGCCTCCCAGGTGGAACCAGGACACTCTTCTGAGAGCGGCCTCCGGAGTGGCCTCAGAAGGCGGGGGGACTTGCAGCCTGTGGTTAAAGCACAGGAAGGAAATTTTCCGTTGCCTTTATTGAGGCTTTTCTGTACGTCCGGCGCTGTGCTGAGCACCTGCCATGTGACGCTTGGTAAATCCTTGCAGGTTCTCCGTAAGAGAGGACTTGACCCTGGATTTACAGGCTCCAGCCGGGCAGTGAGTTCCTTCAGGCCACCCAGCGGGAAGGCAGCGGGCCGAGGGACTGGGAGCCTGGCTCCGATCCTCGGGGGAGGGCCCTGGGCTTCAGGGCTGTTTCCTGGGTATTTTTCTCAGGTTTTCAGTCAGGGCCATGCCCGGTGACCACGAGCTGCTCCTCTGCCCACGTGCCAGCCCAGAAATATCTTGGGTTAACTTGGACAGCATTTCTCAGAAACTCCGAGAATAGCATCTCCGCACAGTACTGTGGGGGAAGTTGGATTATTTATTTTACGTATAACGTTCATGGGGGTTTTCTTTGATTATGAAGATACGTTCGTTGTCAAAGACGTGAAAGTTGTGGCAAAGTAAAAAGCGAGCTGAAAAGCACCTGTCATCCGGTGAGCTGCGTCCCACAGCTCAGACGGCTCCGACGAGATGAGTCTTTGTGTTCTGCGTTACCTCGAGCAGGGAGGCCTGAGGCCCGTTCACGTCGGCATGGGTTCTCCCTTGGCCCTCTCTGGGCACCTCCTCCTGCTGGGGGCTGCAGCAGATGCAAACGCCAGCAAGTGCCTGCTTCAGAGAGGCTTGTCTGAGGCTGGAAGAGCCGGGCCTGGGCACAGGCACGGGGGGCTTCATCGACGAGGCAGTGGGGGAGGCCCTTTGTGCTAGGCCCCAAGGAGAGGGTAGGGGGTCCCCGGGTGGAGTGGAGACGGGGGAGAGGGCAGACTAGAAGGGGCTGACCAGGGGCTGTGGGAAACTCCGGAGGCAAACGCGTTGGGTGGGAGGCAGCTAAGCAGGCAAGCTCTGAGGTTGGCAAGAGCAGCTGGCGCTTCGTGTGGAGCGAGCAAGAAGTCCATCCTCGCGGTATAAGGCCTTTGGCTGTGACTCACACACCGTCATCAGGGGAGATTAGGACACTCCCGGAATGAAGGGTGCATCTTCCTGGTGGTTCCTGCTGATCATTGTAGGTGGACTTCCCTTTGCGTTTCCACGAGATCTCTGTTGGAGTCTTCTGAACGGACCTCCTCCTCTTAAGTCGCCAGCAGGGTGTTTCATTCAAAGGAAAGGTCCTTGGGCGAAGCAGGGCCTCCTGTTAGCAAGTGAACAGGCTGGTAAGTTTTAGACCCTGGTACCCAGCACGCAGTCACTGTCAGCCTCTGGGGGAGATCTTGAGTCTGTTCTGCTGCTCCTCAGTGTACTTACTTACTCATTCATCAGTGCCTGGCTGTGGGAGGGGTCTTGCACCCTGCCTTCCCCTGAGAGCCTACTAGGGGACACGGAAAGGCAACCCTCAGTTCGTGCTGTCCCTGGTCATCTCTGCTCCAGGCCCCATGCAGGATCGAGACAGTTGGGGTTCCAGACAGTGGCGGAGGGTCAACTTGCTGGCTGGTGGGGGCCCGTCCAGTGAGGCTTGGTGGAGGAGGGTTGAAAGTGGAGGACCCAGGAAGAAGGCTAGGGTCGAGGCTGATGTGGATCAGGGAGCTCCCTGGGGTGAGCTTGTGGGCAGGCCTAGCAAAGAGAAGAGGCTCTTCCCTAGGAGCCAAGAGGGACCTGTTTTGAAAGACCACACTGGCAGGAGATGGGCGTAGGTGCTCCAAGGCCACTTCGGAGGAACCAGTGAACGTGGGTTCCTGCAACGCTCCGTGGGCGGGGGCCCCACCACTCCCGCTGCCGGCCTCGGTTCTGATTCCTGTTTCCCACTTGGGCTGTTGACATTTGAGTCTGCATCCCCTTCCTTGGAGAAACCATTTGTGTTTGTTTGCTTTTCCACTGGACTTTGAAATCTTCGCCCCATTCCTTCATTGATTCATTCCTCAGTCCCTCCGCTCAGCACTGATTTTGCACCAGCTCTGTCAGGCTCCGCACCAGGCCCTGGGGATGTAGCGTTGAACTCAGCAGACATCACAGTGTAGCCCAGGCACCGGCTCTCGCAGTGTGGGGAGCCCTGGGGAACTTAGGAGGGGTCCCATCAGACTTACGGTGGGGGTGGAGTCAGGGAGCCAGCCCTGTGAGGAATTGAGATTCAAGGTGAGACTCGGAGGGTAAGTCAAGTCAGCGGGGCACAGCGGAGGGATGGGGAAGAAAGTGGCTTCAGTTCTCCTCACCGTGCTCATCAGAATCTCTCTTGCTCCTTCGTGCATTCATTCCTTCGTCAAATAGTTTATCCAGCATCTCCTCAGGGCCTGGACCTGTTCTGGTCCTTGGAATACAACAAAGATCACTGCCTCCTGAGCCTGACCGCCTTCTAACTGGGGCAGACGATCAAAATAGACATCACGAGGGCGCCTGGGTGGCTCAGTTGGTTAAGCGACTGCCTTCGGCTCAGGTCATGATCCTGGAGTCCCTGGATCGAGTCCCGCATCGGGCTCCCTGCTCGGAGGGGGGTCTGCTTCTCCCTCTGACCCTCCCCCCTCTCATGTGCTCTCTCTCTCTCTCTCAAATAAATAAATAAAATCTTAAAAAAAAAAAAATAGACATCACGAAGATGTAAATTGTGCAGGTTTTTGTTGTTGTTGTTTGTTTTTTAAATTCGCTTTCCCTGGCCTGTGTTCCCAGCAGGCCCACCCGTCTAGGAGGTTTATCACTCACCGAGCCCCTGGCCAGTTCTGTAGGCTCCCCGTGACCCCGAGCTGTCACTGGGGCTGATGTGGTGGCATTCTGACCCGTGCACCACCTGAGGAACAGAATAACTTTGGGGTCTCTGACTCAAATGTGTGAAGAGGCTTTTAGTAAAAAGAAGATTGCTTGCTGACTGCATTCACGGTAACGTTCTGTCGTTACGTATTTTGTCAGAACAGAGGAAAAATTCAAGTCCTGTCACATGAGGCAGTAGACTTTTTCGGCCGAGGAAAGAGTCCTTGTAGATCAGCGGTCAGTGTATTTTGATCAATTTTAAATTTCTTTCAAATTTCACACTTCCGTTTTTCCCCACAATTAACAGTCTCTGTGGTCAAAATGAATCCAGCCAACAAATACAACATTTTTATGGCCCCCGGGAGCCCTTCATTCACTCACACATTCGACACTTACTGAGTCCCTCCTTGTTGGCAAACACTGTGACGCATCACAGGGCACAGAGTCCGCAGGAGACCGGCCCTTCCAGGGTCACAGTCCGGAATAACATCAGAATGGTCTTGGACGTTTCTGCAGTGTCCTGTGGTTTTGGGAATGCATTGAGAGCCTGCCTCATTTCACTCCTTCCTCAGGGCCGGCCCCAGAGGCAGGAGCAGGACTGGTCATGTCCATTTTGCACCTGAGGGCAACTAAGATCCGGGGAGGTTTGGCCACTTGCGCGGGGCTGCAGCTTCATTGCGGGGAAGTGGGGAACCGACCCCGGGGGTCTCCAGCCACCTTTCTGCCTTCACAGAGCACCGCTTAGGGCCTCCATGGTGCTGGACACACAGCAGCTTTCCATCTTGATTCTTTTTTTTTTTTTTTTTTAAGATTTTATTTATTTATTTGACAGAGAGAGACAGTGAGAGAGGGGACACAAGCAGGGGGAGCAGGAGAGGGAGAAGCAGGGAGCCCGATGAGGGGCTCGATCCCAGGACCCCGGGACCAAGACCCGAGCTGAAGACAGACGCTTAACGACTGAGCCACCCAGGCGCCCCTCCATCTTGCTTCTTGTTCATGTTTCTACATTTCTTTTCTGATCTTAACCAAAGTGGGGGGCGCTTCAGTTAAATGAAGGTAAGCCCAATGCAGTCTTTAGGCTGCACATGAGACTAATGATACCGCTAACATTAGCAGTCCTGTAAGGAGATGAATGGCATGAATGCAGGTGATGTTTCACAAAATTAGCCACAGCAGCCCCAAAGGTTTCCTGGTCTCCTGAGCAGCTCTGGGCAGAGGTGGTTTGAATGGGATTCCTTGTAGCCGACAGACCTGATGGGAGGCCTAGAAAGATGAGTCATGTGTGAGCTTGCAGAAAAATCATTTCCCAAATTAGCCCGGGTTGGAGAATGCCTTGAGCATGGGGCTGTGTCTTACCTCAGGCCAGCTGGATGTGTTCCCCGTTGCCATAATAAGATGACGCACTGGAAAGAGCAGTGGAGCCCGGGAAGCATCCGAGCAACTGGGCGCCGTG